TGCACTTAATAATCTGATAATGGCAGAAAATCAGATTTTGTCAGTAATCCGTTCAACATGTTTACATGCACTTGAGTAATCCGATAATGGGAAAACTCCGGGTCTACATTAGTCAGGAAGTAATCGGATTTCTGCTTTGCAACCAGCCAATAAACTCACAGAATAAGACGAGACATAAACGTAATGTAAAACTCAAACGTTACGCTGTGGCTTTTTATTTTTAAACACCAAGTCACTTTAGCAGAAAATATGAATATATATCATCTACATATAAATATGAATATACATCATCTAGAAAATGAAGAATATTTAAATCCTTCATTTCATTAAGCATGTATTTTGTTTCAGCGTTGCTCCAAAAGTGTTTTGTTCCGTCTCGTGGGTGCTGTGTTAAACACTGATTGCTGTTTCCAGGACAGCGCTCTGTTTTTGCACACGCACAGACTGAGAAAAAGGAAAGAAATCAGAATCTGAAAAATCAGAGCCGGTTTTATGAGGAGTCTGGCCTCTTCCTATTTCCCCTGTTATATCAAAAACATCAGTACAAAACGCCAGAGGGCGCTCGTGAGCGAGTTCCCAATGAACGGGGGGTGAATGGAGCTAAACTAAAATAGTTTCTAATCACTTGCCCAGAACTTTCCTTTCATTTTGTAAAGTAGAAGGATGTTTTTTTTACTTAAAACCAGGAAAAACGTACCTGTATGTTTCCTTCTTTTTTCTACAACAAACATGTTTTAGGCAGCAAGACGCTAGCATTACTGAGTGCTGATTGGTTGGCGAGCGGAGCAGCTCATTGGCTGTTTGCGCTCACAGACGTCATGAACGTACATGAGGTGCCGTTTTAAACTCCTATAACTCGAGTTTAAAAGCTCTTAAAAATATAACAGTGTTGTTTAAATGTTTCATGCTGTTCAGTGTTCAGAAAATAAATGTATTCTTTTACTAAAATGTTTAAGCATTTATAAACTCTGATTTTGCTCAAATGTTCCACATTAACCCATTCATTTTGGACTCGCTCGGGAGCGCCCTCTAGCGTCTGAGAAACCCGGAAGACGTTACAGAGCGGTGATTCTCCTCTCAAGTTCTCTGGAAAAAACGGAAAACTGAAAATTACTAAAGTTCAGAACTCTCTGATCAGATTCCTTAATTGGATTTCTAGGCTTCAATCAGATGGAAGAAATACAATGATTGGATTCTTCAGTGCATATGAAAACACACTAAGTGCATCCACTTAAGACAGCAAGACAGCTAACACTAACATGAACGCTAATGTTTTCTGTTCGTTTCTGGAGTAAATGTGGTGCGTAAATCAAGTAGACACCCCCATCTCTGTCATTTATAGTTACCAGATTTCTTATCATGCGCAAACTGGTCATAAACATTACAGACGTCCTGAGGTAAAATTACATTTCCCCACCTTAGCATGTAAAACAAATATTTCAAACAACTAACTACACTTGAGGTAAGCGGACATTTTCTCAGTCTGAAGGAAATTTTCACTCACCACTACGGAGGCCAGCAATGAAGGTCAGCTTCCGCCTCTGGAGAAAAATATATGTTAACCTTTTAGTAAGTCAGGATAATGAGAACATTTCTCACTGTCAAAATTATGAGATACTAAGTCATAATTATGAAATGCTAAATTATAATTACAAAACATAGTAAGTCATTTGTATGTGATAACGTTACTAAGCTATACTTATGAGAGGTTAACTCATAACGATGAAATACTAGCTAAATCATGAGTTATGAGAAAATAAGCCATAATTATGAGGTACTAAGTCAAAATTATGAGATATTTAGTCTTAATCATGGAGAGATTTCTCATCTTTATTACTTAATAAATGGCAATATTTTTTCTAATAGCGGAAACAGCCTTACATAGCTAGTTAAATTAGCTTATTGTTCACTGAGAGTTGGAAGGAAATTTTCACTCACCGTTACGCTGGTTAGCTTATTGTCGTCTGAGAGAAAGTTTCTCAGTTATAAGGAGTTTTTTACTCGCCGTTATGAAGGTCAGCACGGTTTCTGCAACTGCACCGGAGTGAATGACCGTTGGATCGGGCTCTGCTGAACCGTTGAGTTTTTCCGTTGGATTTTGAATTTAACCGCTTTCAAAATAATGATTGACACCGCTGTCAGCCAATCACTGCTTAGCGACCGTCTGTGAGCACAATTTCATTGGTCAGGCGAAGCTGATCAGAACAGCCCCGCAGAGAGAAGGACCTTTACGGTAAAACAGAAATATCCAGCTATCAGTAGACGTATTTATCAGGATTATTCGGCTAAGAGATGTTAAAACTGTGTTAATGAATAGATTTAATATAGACAAATGATTCCTGAAGAATCTGGAGGTGTTTATGGTTACCGTTCATTCCTGAAGCTGAAAACAGGATAACTAAACTGTGGCCACACTCACAGTTAAATATAAAATTAAATATAAAAATATAAAATTAAAATAAACATTTTAATCTCTTTAGTCTCTAACCCCTCCACTCAGCCTGCAACTGATTTATTTGATTCTAGTTAATTTTTTATATGATTCTGATATGTTTTAGTTATTGTGTTATATTTTTCATTATTTTGTTCATTTTATTATTAACGTATATTTTATTTTATCCCTATTTGATTTGCCATTTACTGTGTTATTTAACTTTTTAAATGTTATCAGTTTATTCTGATTTGACTTTTTTTTACTTTTGAATTGTACTATTATTATTATTACTATTGTTGTTCTTAATTTTTTGCTTCTCTATGTTTTTAACAAAGCATTTGATATGTTTTTGCAATCTATATTTTTCACAAATGCTATTTCTTTAAATTCTTAATTTCTGTGTATTGTACATTGTGAATGTATAAGAAATGAGAGTCACCCTCGGTGAACTTCAAGTTTAAGTAATGGTTGATTGATTTTTTTTCAGAGATTCCTATATAAGTTATTATTATTATTATTATTATTATTATTGTTGTTGTTGTTGTTGTTGTTACTGGTATTATTATTGTTATTATTATTATTATTCATTTTTTATATTGTACACAGTAACCTAAAGGCGTTGGGGGCGGAGCATTCTGAGATGTTCCTTGAGCGCCGCCTGTTGGTTACCTTAAGCAAAACTGCAGTGATCCGATTCTTTAGAATCGGGTTCTTAAGATCGTTTCAATGGGATCGAACTCTCGAAGCAAGGATTCAATGAATCGGTGAGTTGGACGTGAGACGTTCTCCAACAGCTATTTGTCTTTCTCCTTCATTGGCGTAACAGGAGCTGTTACTGCACAGAGTTATTAGAGCAAAAGACAGAAGTCATTAAGTTTAAAAACTGGGTGCAGTGGTCAGCACTGTCACCTCACAGCAAAAAGGACCTGTGTTTGATTCCCTGGCCGGGCAACCAGGGTCCTTTCAGTGGGGAGTTTGCATGTTGTCTGAGTGGGAGTGCAAAGGCAAGTCAGGTAGATACTAAATTGCCCCTAGGTGAGGTGTGTATGTCTGTGTGTCTGCCCTGTGATAGACCGGCGACCTGTCTAAGGTGTTTCTTGCCATCCGCCTAGTGAGTGCTGAGATAGGCTCCAGCACCCCCTGTGACCCAGGAGGCTAAATGGCCTAGATGATGTGAGAGTGTATAATACAAGCTTAGACAATACACATATACCATTGTTTATCATACCAGGCACCATTCATTGAAGATTCTGACATCCACCAGTATTTTCTTATTTGGGTTTTATTCATAGGTAAGAACACACTCAAGCACAAAGTGAGAACAGTTCTGTGGCTTAAGACCTTTTCTTAGGACCTTTCTCAAGAACACATTTAAGAAAAACGTAGGAAGATATTGATGAATGAAGCCCAATGATCTGAATGTTTTACATTTAGCTCTGAAAGATTATACTTTGATTTTAGACTCTTCAGCCTATCACAATGATGTAAACATTGAGTAGATGCTACAAAAATGTTTCATTTAACTTTAACTTTCAATGGAAAGATTTGCCTGTTTTTTTTAGATATAAAATAGATTTTGTAGCTATAATGAAAATGTGCATATTTGTTTCAATTGAAATTTAAATTTCATTTTAAATGTAACGTTACCCTGTTGGGGAAATATCATTTACACAAAGGAAAATATGGTAAATATAAACCGTGTCTGTGTTTTCATAGCTGAATTTAAACTTATTTAATGAGTTTCTTAAATGTCTTAGCAATAAAAAGCTATTTCTATTATTTTTCTACTAAGTTTGATGGTTTAAGTATGATGGTGGAATGAAATGTGCTGTCAGCGTATTCTGTTTACTTACTTATATCTCTAATTTATCTTTCATATGGATGTCCTTTGTTATCATTTTGTCAAAATTTTTACTTATTATCTCAAAATAATGAATTCTTTTCATGAAATTCTGCCATAGTATCTCAGTTACTTATTTTCTACAAGTTGTGACCTCTTGGAAACAATGACGTTTTCTCAAAATTTTGACTTAGTATCTCAAAATAATGTCTTATTTTCTAAAATTATTGTAACTTAATATCTGTAAACAATAATTTTAGAAAATAAGACATTATTATGTTTTCTCCAATTTTTTAAAAAATAATTACTTATTTTCTCGGAACTTTGACCTAATATTTTGAACAAAAACTTATTTTCTTAAAATACTGGACTCTAAATAATGACGTACACTCTTAAAATGTAATAACTCTTTATTTTGACCCAGCACCAGAATTTTGACTTAATAGGCCAACTCAATATCTAGAGTGAAAATAACACATTTTGAGAAAATAAGCCATTATTGTTGACATTCTAACTAAAAACCTCGATGAAATAATAATTGTGACATAAGAATCAAACTAACGCTGCTGCCACATTCAGAAAAGGAGAGAAATATGTGATTTGATTCTCCTCTGCTTGGCCTCAGCTTCTGAATCGGTTCGAGTGATTCACTAAAAAGAACCGGTTCAAAGGCTCGACTCGTCGGTGACTCGTTCCTCGCTAACAGCAGCGGCGGGCTCTGTGTGTGTGTGCGCGGATCTACCGGCCGAAACCTGCGTGTCCAACCGCTTCAAACTGAACCATGGTGCAGCTAGTAGGGCCTCTCCGGAAAGAGCTCGCTGACTCGGTGTCGTCCTGCAGGGTGCTGGTGGTCGGGGCTGGGGGAATCGGCTGCGAGCTGCTGAAAAATCTCGTCCTGACCGGCTTCAAAAACATTGAAGTGGTGAGAAAGAGGAAAGCGGGGTCCTCCTCTGCCTCTTTGTGCTCAGGGCCTCATTCAATTAGTCCTGTTTTAGCGCTGAGCACACGTCTGCCTCACTCTTCAGCAGCCTTTTTAGCAAGTACTGTTCATAAAAAGCGCGCTGCGTACCAAACTGGTAGTGTTTTTAATTTATTTAAGGTCGTATTGTGTTGAATGTGCTGCTCTCAGTTCTGGCGCCATGCTTTGTGTTGAATTAACCAGGCTAAGCTAAGCTAAGACTTTAGTGTTGAGCTAACTAGGTTAGCTAAGTAGCTTCCTTAAACTACTGTGAAGGTGGAAATATCACGTAAAATAAAGATTTTTATTCGGTTAACCTTATTTGGCGAGGGGAAGAAAGTTAGGCTTCTAAAATCTCTGTTCAGAGAGAATAGCCGCGTTATCGTTAGCAAGCAGCGGTAACGTTAAAGGGCAACTCCAACGCTTTTTCAAAATTTCCGCGTAATTAAATGGTTAAGATGTAAACAGAGTTCATTCAGAGCGGTTTGGTGTGAAACGCTTCGTTCTAGAGAAACGTACCGAGTCAGAACTGTTCACAGTGGTGGTGATAGGAACCAGACGTCCACCTCTAAAAGCTCCCTCACAGAAAGTTATTACAGGAAATGGTTATGAATATGCTACACTCTTAACATGAAGGTTCCTCGAGGGTTCTGTAGTAAAGACAGTGGTTCTGTATAGAATCATGAACACTCAAAGAACCATTTGCATGCTTAAAGGGGTCTTTGCGTCAAAAATGGTCCTTCAGATTGATGGAGAGTGTGTTGAATATGATTCAATATAGAACCTTTTTAAAAAAGAGTTCTTCTGTTATGGTATCAAGCTCATAACAATAGAAGAACCCTTTTTATATACAACATATTCTACATCAGTCTGAAGAACCATTTAACACTTTAAACATCTTTTTAAGTGTGCTTGATGCCTGAGACATTGTTTTACATTAGTTTTGGTCTAAAATGTATTTTAGTCCGTTCATGGTGGAGCGACACATGCAGGGTCCTGTAAGTCACAATAGTCCCCCAAGAAAACTTATTGTTTTCATATTTTCCACTATTTTACCATCATCAGTATTAAGTTATATATCCGAAGACGTGTAGGTTCTCTGGTGGTTCTGGATAGTAAATAAAGTGGCTATATTTGTGCTGTAGACATCATCTCTGGTTCCTGTCACCACCACTGTAAAGAAAATCTGTGTCAGTTTGTTTCTCTATAAAGGAATTACTTCACTTAAAGCCGCTTGCATGATTTTGTTTAGATCTTAACCACTGAATTATGGAGAAATAAAAAAAAAAAATCAGTGGAATTCCCCTTTAAATGGGAACTACGCCTAAACATAGAAGGAGTTCAGCTTTTCTGTAGTAATTTAAAGAATATTTAGTCAAAGCAGTGTTTGTTCTGTTGTTTACGCGCATTGTGTAGGGCTCAAAAAGGGAACCCATCCTCCTCTGGGCCATATAGGATGCATGCAGTTAGAATACAGGAGTTTGCAGTAGGACAAGTACAGAGACAATCAGATCATAACGAAGAATTACACTGATGTTTCAGACTTTCAGCATAGTTGTTTCAGGATGTAATCAAAGCCTTTCAGAGTGGTTTGTTTCAGATTTCTTTACAGTGGTGGTGATGGGAACCAGGGCTCACAATGTCTGCACCAGTGATCCTACACAAGTGTTATATGTAATGTTGATGATAGTAAAATAGTGATAAACTTGGGAAAGTACTTTTTTGGCACCGTTTTGTCTCAGACATCAGGCGGCAAATTCATAACTATTTCATGTGAAGTGACTTTTAAAGGTATTAAACTCCTCAGATGTTTGGTCCCTATCAGCACCACTGCTGTTACAGTTCTGGCTCTGTAAGTTTCCACAGAATGGAGCATTGCACATCAGACCACTCCTAAAGGCCTTTATTTACATTTGAACCTTTTAATTATGCAGAATTATAGAAAAATACAATGCAAGCCAGTGACCAACTTCTTTGCTAGCACAAAGTGTAAATGTCTGTGTTTCTCTGTTTTTCGTTTGCCGTTATAGATTGACCTGGACACAATTGATGTCAGCAACCTCAACAGGCAGTTCCTCTTTCAGAAGAAGCATGTGGGCAAGTCCAAAGCACAAGTACGTCTCCTTTTAACTAGGGATGCATCGATACCAATACTGATATCGGGAATCGGACCAATACCACACTCATTTACTCATACTCATAAAAATTAATCTTCACCAACGTTTTGATACCTGCTGATACCGTGTGTTGTAAGCCGGGTGTACAGGGCCGCGCTAAAGAACAGAAGACTCAGGCAGGCAGTGACGGAGGGTCTGCTCACACAGAGAAGAGTTACTGACTCCATGGAGGTTGGATACAAAGTCACTGGTCACTTTCCGCCTTGGCAGATTCCCACCAGGAATGCACTGTGATTTTAGTCCGTTTTTAAACACACAACCACAACCGCATCCCCAATACGGGTGGAGACACACAGGCTGCCAAAGTGTAAGCGGGAAAGTCGACATTTGCTTCCAAAGTCCATCTGTGCCGTCTTCGACTGAGTAGAATAGCAGGGTAAAAAAGTAAATTTTATTTAATTTTTTGAAGCTGTTTTTGGGATATATGCTGTAGAGAGACTATTGTCCTACCATGTACATCACCACCTGCTTTAGCTTCAGTGCACAGTGTTAACACCGCTGCTTAGCCACTCAGGGCGCAGTGTGTTATTTCGCATGAAACTGCTTTATTTGAAGTTGTTCATGAATAGAGCGTTTCGCACAGCTGGACTGAGTGTTTTCGTACAGGGCGAGTATATAAATCGTAGGCTTTATCCGTACACAACAGTCTGTTCAAACTTACAGTAGTCACGTTTACATGCAGCCTGATAATCCGTTAATAATCTGACTAATGGCTCAATCGGAATAGAATACGTCCACGGAAACACCTGAGTCGGAATAGACTAGTCCTATTGAGGCCATTTGGAATACAATTTCTATCCAATCGAATGAGGTGGGTAAACCTATAAATAATCTGTTAAATAGAAGAATAATATCTGTGAAATCGCCTGTATCTGATCACATTCCCTATCAGAGATTTTAAGTACATTCTGTGTGTTCGTGTCATAACGGAAGTTTATAGCGTCCAGCATGGCGGAGCAGAAACTGGTCTGCAGAGGAGACGAAGTTTATGCTCTGATCTTTAAAAGACGGCGGTGGGACGGACGTCCAGCTTATGCGTCTCAGAACACGACGTCTTCCTCTCGGCCTTCTTTAAGTACATGTGAAGGACATTTTCCTGAGTCTGACATCATTTTAAAGTCATTTTACAGTAAAACACAAGCGCGGCAGCTGAAAACTCGGGTAACATACTGCTGCTCGTCTCACTCTGGCTGCACTCTCAGGATGCTTGTTGTCATGGTAACATCTACACTAAGCCGTTCTCTACACATGCACATCATTTTGGATTGGATTACCTGTAGTGTTCGTGTAAATGGGAGATTTCCCATCAGAGTGTTGTGTAGAGTCAGCATATAAACGCCTCAGTCTTAATCTATAATCGGAATGTATTCAATCGAATTGCCAAAAATCTTTGTGTATAAACACAGCCAATGTGAGTCACCGAAGAGCAAGACATCAAAAATCACACAGTGTACGTCTGGCTTTACAGGACATTCAGCTACAGCACAACTAGCTAAACAAAAGACTGCAGAGGTAAAACTCCACAAGTGAGCTCCACAGATTAGCCTCGGATGTGATTTTCCTGTCACTGTGCTGCAGAGACTTGTTGAGAAACAGATGAGGATCATAAAACTATGAAACATACTTTACTTACAGCTTACTTACAAAAGCACTTTTCTGATGTGGAACAAAAAACTTTTCTCCACTGCAGCGCTGCTCAAACCAAGGGCACAAATATAGCATAGCCAGCTAATGCACTTTTTTTTAAACCAGCTAGATTTGAACTGTCAATTCATTATGTTTTGGTGTCAGAGAGTACGAAAAACGTACTTGTTCTGAAAAAAATGGTATCGATGCATCTCTACCTTTGACTACAGACATGTTTTTCTTAGTGGTTTTATATAAATGCACGTTTCTACTGTAGAGAAAAAGCATGAATGCTTGTTATTATTTCCTTTCAGGTTGCCAAAGAAAGTGTCCTGCGCTTCTGTCCTTCTGCTAATATCACAGCATACCACGATAGCATAATGAAGTGAGTATAAGGGCTTACAGCTGTCCACTGGGCAGCATCAGTGGTCTCTCTTGAAAGACGTCCAGGAGAATTTTGTGGGAGTTTTTCCCAAAATTGTAATGATATAAAATGTACTGTCCTCTTAAATAATAAATTGTATTGTGATGATAATAATGTCAGTGCTTTGCAGAGAAAGATGAGACAATATTGCAGACTTATTGTTTACATCAAAAAGTAAAATTATTGAAACAGCACATTTACAAATTATAGATGGAAAAAGTCAAATATGTTAAAAAAGGTGATATTTGTTTACTTTGTTATGGGTATTGGGTTTAATGCATTCTATTGTGTCCCTCATAGCCCAGACTACAATGTGGAATTCTTCAGGAATTTCCAGCTGGTCATGAACGCCCTGGATAACAGAGGTTTGTGTCTTTGCTGGTTTCAGCACCGTACTGCACGCTTTGACTGGGATCAGTTATTGTCTCTTCATTACCTGAAACATATCACTGCTTTTTTTTAATTTCCTGTAGCGGCCAGGAATCACGTGAATAGGATGTGTTTGGCAGCAGATATTCCTCTAATCGAGAGCGGTACGGCAGGCTACCTCGGTCAGGTCACGGTCATCAAGAAGGTGAGACTCAGTGCTGCTTTTCATTTTCAAGTTTCACATTGAGTGCGTTTAAATGCATTCAGTGATCCAATAACTGCAAAAAAAAACAAAAAAAAAACACATTTTGTCAGTAATCCGATCAACGCATTTACATGCACTTGGGTAATTAGATAATGGGAACACTGAGTCTACATGAGTCAGGCAGTAATCGGATTTCTGCTTTGCATCGAGCCAATAAACTCGCAGAAGACGACGTGGCATAAACATAATGTAAAACTCAAACTTCATACAGTGGCTTTTTTAAAAAAAAACATTGCGGCACTTTAGCAGAAAATATTGTTGTTGGTTTCAGCGTCGCTCCAAAAGTGTTTTACTGCGTCTCGTGGCGACGCTGCTCGCTTATTTCCGCTACCGCCGTCTGTTTTCGCACATGCTCAGACTGAGAAATCCAAAAGAAATCAGAGTAAGAATTTACATGCACTGAGAAATCTGATTACTGAGCTAAAATCCAGCCTCTTTATCGGATTTCTTAGTCAGATTTCTAGACCTTACTGCGATCTAAGAAATCGGAGTGTGCTGTTTACATGGCCATTTGAATAATCAGATAACTGCAGAAATGTGCTTTGTTAAACACACAAGTATAAATTAATTTATAATAAACGGACGAGAAGAAATTATCCAAAATTACTTGTTTTATTATGACAATGACAATATACTGTGTGTTAGTCTGTCAGTAATTAGTAATAATTATGAGTTGGTTTGTTGGTTAATAACAACTTGGTAAAACATGCAGGTCAGTTGACATTTGGTACTTTTTAACAAGAAATAGTGAACATAATTTGTTTTAGCTGATATGAAATATATTATCATTGCTGTTGAATTGTATTTAGCTTAGTTAACTTTATAATGTTTGATTAAGGAACATGTACGTATGCGTTAATTGTAAATGAGAAAAGATGCTTTGCCTCAGAAATAGCTAGATAACTGTTCGGCTCCTTTTTTGCCAAATATGAAATTAGCCAGTTACGCTGTCAAAATTGTAAAACCAGAATTAATATTAATAATTGAACACACTTTTTTTCCTCCACCTCCAGGGTGCGACAGAGTGCTACGAGTGCCAACCCAAACCCACACAGAAGACATTTCCTGGATGCACCATCCGCAATACTCCCTCTGAACCCATCCACTGCATCGTGTGGGCTAAATACCTCTTCAAGTAGGTTTTTAGGTGTTAATGCCTTTTCTGCATGGTGCATGTTGTTGGCGTGTAAAGAGACCTTAGTTAGACAAATGAAATTGCCAGATATATATTAGTTTGTTAAAATCCTAAACAGTGTTATTTTATTATTATGTTAATAGGTTATCTGCAGATGTACATTGCAAAGAATTTTGTATTGATATCCAAAGTAAGATGGGAAGAATGATTACCTACTTTTGCATGAGAACTTTCTATTTTGTTTTAAAGTAGCATTCATGCAGGGGGTTAAAAGATAAGTAGGTTGTAGAAATAAGCTTTATGTAGATGTTTGAAGTGAAGTGCCCTCAGGATTCATTTGAAAGTGCAAAACAGTGACTGTGTTTGTTTACTGAAAGCCAACATGTCCAACTTTACATGCAAAGATTTTTGCCAATCCGATTGATTACATTCTGATTATAGATTAAGACTGAGGTGTTTATTCTCACTCTACTCAACAATCTGATGGAAACTCTCTGTTTTCATGCTCACTACAAGTAATCAGATCCAAAATGACGCACATACATAGAGAACTACTTAGTGTAAATGTTACCGTGACAACCAGAATCACGTGAGGTCCAGTCAGAGTGAGACGAGTTTTCAGTTGGCACTCTTGTTTTCAATTGCTTTAAAGTTATGGCAGAAAAATGTACTTCACGTGTGTTAAGGAAGCGGCAAGAGGAAGACGTCGTGTTCTGAGACACATAAGCTGGACGTCCGTCCCACCGCCGTCTTTTAAAGATCAGAGCATAAACTTCGTCTCCTCTGCAGACCAGTTTCTGCTCCGCCATGTTGAATGATATAAACTTTCACTATGACTTTCCGATAGGGAATGTAATCAGATACAGGCGTTTACACGGATATTATTTTTCTATTTAATGGATTATTTACAGGATTACCCACCTCGTTCAGTCGGAAAGGAATTGTATTTGAAATGGCTTCAATCAGACTATTCTATTCCAATTGAGGTGTTTACACGGACGTGTTTTATTCCGATTGAGCTATCAGTCGGATAATTAATGGATTATTAGGCTGCTTGAAAACATGGCTAATAAGTGATTAACTTTGTTTAATGCTGTTTTATCAGTCAGCTGTTCGGAGAGGAGGATGCAGATCAGGAAGTGTCCCCGGACACGGCTGATCCCGAGGCTGCATGTAAGTGACCAGTCTGTCTCTTCCAGTATCACCTGCTGCTGACCGCACGTGTGTTTATTCATTTATTTTTTTAAATAAATATTTCTTTCCATCTTTGTTGTTCTTACTGTACTGGTAGATAAAGAGCTATGAGCTCAGATACTGCTAGAATCAGAAAGTCATTACTGACACCTAAAGAAAAAGGAACAGAGTTAAACACAGAGCAGTGCAATACAATACAATACATAAGTGCAGTACAATACATTACAATCAATACTTAATTCAGTGCTCAATCATGTATCTCTTTGGTAATCTCTTAAACTAATCCAGTTTTAATAGAGCTTTACTTAATCTTCGATTTTCATCAGGTTAGAAACGTTAAGTAAAAGACTGACCTGGCGATTTTACTTACTCGTATTTTTCTTTTCTTTTATGCTGTGTTTTAGGGAACCCTGCAGAAACAGCAGCGCGAGCTACAGCCTCGGATCAGGATGGAGATATCAAACGGGTTTCTACCAAAGAATGGGCTCGCTCCACGGGCTACGACCCCGTCAAACTCTTCAACAAGGTGAGAACAGAATGGTCCAGAATGTTACATTCACAGTTAGAGATGGGAGTATTTGTCCGATACTACATCGGTATCTGGCTCGATATTGACGTCACTTCGCTCATTGGATGTCAGAAGAACAGGGCTCATCCACTTACTGATCCAGATTCCAGTCTGCAGCTTGCGCTGGACCATGCACCCACCATAGCATAACAGACGACCTTAAACACAACAAACCAACAACAATAATGATAATATTAGTTAAGTAGAGAAGAGCTCTTGTATTGGAATCTGTATCGGTATCGGCAGTTGTGTATTGGGATCGGAACTGAAAAAAACACGGATTGGCCCATCTTATGAGGGTCTTGCATGATAGTCTTTATGAAGCCATCAATATACTACAACCAAATTTTTCATCATTTCAAAAAAGTAGTGTACAGATGGTGCCTGTGTGCTCGCAGGGACTCTTCTTTCTGCTTCTGTTTTGTTGTATTCTGCATATCGAGCGTGATGTTGTGTGTTCAGGTAGTATCAAACATGTAGTGGAGAAGTTCTTGAGAGTCGTATGCCCTCTTGGTACTTGTCATGAACAGAGATTATAAATTGCTTGTCTAATGTCCTTCATAGAAACAGTGACAGTTCCATGTGGCCATCATTTTCACTATTGATCTGCTTCTGCTTAAACTGTTTGAATGCATCTGTACTGAAAATCACAGAAGAGTCAGAGAAAGAAACAGCTTTAAATTACTGTTCCTCGTTTCTATTATTACTTGTTCTGAGACTTTCCTCTGTCTGCCATTGATCCGAATCACATGGTTGCTTGCATCACTTAACAGAGGAGCGGATTTTGACACATGTAGTTCATAGTGGGTTGGGACTAGACTTCATATATAACTGCATGTTCAGTGGTGGTTCGTTTTCATTTTGCTACTAGGCTTTGTTCACACAGCAGGAAAAAGTGGTCCAAATCCGATCTTTTTCTTCAGATGTGTGTTTTGTGTGTCAGTGTGAACAGATGAACTGAATCTCTCATTTTCAATTCTGACTTAAGACGCCTTCATATGTGGTACTGAAATCCGATACGTATCCGATCTGTGGCAACGCGACTCAGTCTGAACAGCCAGATCGGAATTCATGCGACTTTTACGTCAATCCGACTTGACAGTCGTCATCATTTCGCGCTGCCGAGACTCATAAACATTTAGGCTGATGTTTCTGTACCAAAAATAAGAAGAGACTCATCAAAACGCTCTGTGTTTGAAGAGGTTTCGAACGAAACGACTGAACATGGCCGGAGGAGACCGAGGCTGCAGCGTCAGAGAACAGTTTAAAGAATCTGAGGACACGAACCAAAGAAGTGGTCGTGGCTGAATAACGCACCCTTTTTAAGGCGAACTCAAACACATTCTGGGTGATGAGCTCAGCTGTCAGTCATTGGAACTTCATAATCGCTCCTGTGATGCTGGCGAAGACGAAACTGAAAGCTCTGGGAGCAACTGGCATTCGCTGGCCGTCATGATTGTTTGGACGAGCCACGTGAAGCATTGTTCTTTTGCGCATGCGGGTCGGTTTAGGAGCTGATCAGTTCAGACTGATGTTGCATACAGATCACAATTAAAAGATAATGTGAACAGCCAAGCAAAAAAATCGGATTTGGTGAGGAAATCAGATTTGGGCCACTTTTACCTGCTGTGTAAACGTGGCCTTAGTCAGCTGTTCAGAGAGGAGGATATTTGAACTTGCTTGACTTTTCTTTGTGTTACTGCAGCTGTTCAAAGATGACATCATGTATCTGCTGACTATGGACAAGCTGTGGAAGAAGAGGAAAGCTCCAGTGCCGCTGGACTGGGCTGAAGTGCAGCAGCTCGGTGAGGTTTCTTTCACTTCTGCAAAAGTATTTTAGGCACATTACAGCAAGTGAGACGGTCCTGAGAGCTGTTTTGCTGTGACAGCATTGGAGAATGTAATCAAGAAGTAATTTGCTGTCCAGGGATGTTCTTTGTGTCCTCATAACTGTAGAGCACTGTCCACTAATTTTGACCCTGAAGTACATCTTTTTATTGGGGAAAGTATTTTCAAAGGAAAAGAAATTACAAAATTCACATTGTTTGAAATGACTGTGTCGGTACCTCAATTATTACAACAATTATGACTATATAACTGCTTTGCTATAACGTTGTAATCCTATTTCGCTGCTTCACTTTAAATGATACACACACACACACACATTTTTTATATATATATATATATATATATATATATTATAATCTGCTCTTTCTTATCCATGCATTTTATAACAATAAACATTTAGAAGTTAATATCGTCAGTTTTCAAAAAATGAACCCATGTAACTTTAAAGTACATCTGAACTGAATTTCATTGTTTTCTGCTCCTCCTTGCACACCTAATTGAATTCGGCAGCTGTTTACCAACCATTCATGAGATTATGCTTGTGTTGGAGCGAGAAAGCACTAATAATGTGCAGTGAAGTTGGAGAAAATAACTACACAGGATTAGAAAACCTAAATTAATTTAACTGTGCTTTTATGTGTGATTAGTAAGCTCTCAGGACGAGGTGTGCGGGACAGGGCTGAAGGATCAGCAGGTGCTCAGTCTAGGTGGATACTCCCAGCTGTTCCAGCACAGCGTGGAGACGCTCCGTTCCCAGCTGGATGATAAAGGAGATGGAGCACAACTGGTGTGGGATAAGGTGAGAAACAGACATGTAGATAATGTGATACACAGGAATCCACCTAATATTCATTAGGAAACCACAAGGTTTTACAAACACTCAGAAATGCACAGTGATGCTGTTCTACATGTGATTTTGATAGACGGAAAAAATGATAAGTAACTTTATTTAGCACCTTTCGTAAGTGGTGAGCAATAAGGCAAAGTAGTGCCACTTTTAAAAAGTGCCATAATAAAAAATAATACAGTAATTTATATTTAAAGTTTCACACACTGGCTGCACTTAATCTGGTTAAACAGGACTAATTCAGCTCTCATATTAAACATACAGTGAGAAAATGTTTTTTAATACTAAATGTTTTATTACTGATATCCACAGTATGCTCAGAAAGGATACTGACACTTTGTGATGTAATTTCACAACATAGATAAATAGTCGTATTGTGTAACCCTTACCTTTCACACATAAACGTTCAGCTGAAAGTGCTTCACAGCGTAGTTAAATGTCATGAGTAAATGTGTTGTACTGTGAAAATTGCATACGATAAGAATGGCAGGTTTGTTTAACAAGTAAAAAGGTTAAAGGAAAAAAGTTAGAAAGAAAGAATTAAAATGAAATGTAACAAATTTACTTTCAAAATAAAAAAATAGAATACAATATGAAATAATGACAAATTAACAGATCAAAATATTAAACTAGGTGATGTTTTTAGTTGTTAGTAATTTCACTTATTCGCAGAACAGAAAAGTATCATGGTTGAGTGATTATTCAGTTTTCAGTGTCTTTTTAAACCAGGGCTGCCCAAAGCCCGTCAAGATGTTTGATCTGGCCCACTGGTAAGTTACCCCAACACTATTTAATGAGACAATTTTTTTTTCCATATTGAAATTGAGTCAGGAGGTAAAAACATGCTGTCCTGTAAAGTCTGAAATAATTTAAAAGTCAGAGGTGTTGAGTCTGGACTTTCTCAGCCCACATCATCTGTCTTATTAACGTGTTAACGTCACACACAGGATCAAAAGATGATCCGGCTCATTTAGGTGTCAAATGCAAAATCAGCATCACACTGATAAAGATATGATGAATAGTAGATAATTCACTCACATCCTCAGAAGACGCTCCTTCACCAAGTTTAGACTGAGTTCTCTTTGAATTCTCTTTCAATCATCACCTTCATCTGCTCAGGGAAGGGGGGCAAAGCACAACTCACATTACATGATGTTCTTCCACACGCATACAATTACACTTTTTCACCAGAGAGGTCTCCAAATCCCCAAAACTTACATAGTTCAGCTATAAATGATAAATGATTGCATTCACAATTTTAAAATCACTATAGGAATCCTACCTTATCTATGTATGTATTTATTTGGTTGTCTTTTTGTCCCACGGCCCACCACAAACATTTTCACTTTTTTGACCCCCAAGACGGAGCATTTGGGCAGCTCTGCTCTGCTTTAGACAGTATTATTGTTCATATTTGAAACACATTCTGTAGTCTGTAGGCCTAATTTGCTTCCTTTAAAAATCCACATCTTACAGTGGGTTTTCCTGACAGTCGAACATGTTGAGCTTAGATGTCTTTGAAATAAAACTTTGCTCATTGTGCAAAAACCATCCGTTTCCTTTACATCTAAGTCTGAGTCAGGAACCTTAAACATGCAGGCAAAACCTGAGGCTAGGCTACATCAGTAGTGAACACAAACACACTTTCTCTCTCTAATGGTTATCTATTCATTACTCTTTTTCTCTCTTTGTTCTTTCCCTGCTTTCTCCTGCTTCCTCGGTTGCCAGGATGACCCTCCAGCCATGGACTTTGTGACCGCGGCCGCCAACCTGCGTATGCACATCTTCAGCATGAGCATGAAAAGCCGCTTTGACGTCAAATGTGAGTGCGTTCGGCGTGAAACGTGTTGTCTTTCTCTCTTTTGATAATATTTAACAGTGAGTTAATATTTACTTATTTTAAATGGTTCATTGGGCCAGCGGGTCATTTCGCAAAGGCAGCGTTTCTCAGGTAGCCAAATGTTGTTAAGACTGTCCAGTGGGAGATGAAATAAGGCGCATTCCTTATGGACAGTCTTACATTATCAAGATTCCTGAGAAATTCTGCATTGTGAAATGCACCCCTGAACACTGAGATTAGTTAAATGAGTTCCAGATAAGAGATTATGATGCCAGTGTTATGGTGAGAGTCCTCTTGATTGCAGTGTTGTAAACTAGGGTTTCTCAACAGCTGGGCCACGCACCACAAGTGGGCTGTGAAGCACTCTCTGGTGGTCCTCAGATCTATACTGTTTACTATACGGTAAACGATATTAACACAAGAACTGCATCAATGGCACACAAAGCAGCTTTGTCTATTTATTTTCTGTCTAGTTGATATTTTACTCTTTCAGTCGTGACTAGTATAAAAGAAAATCAAAACTCAAAAGGAGAAAATTCCTTAGAGCTGGTTTAAAACAACAATGTTGTTGTTACTGTTATATCTATCGTGTTAAATGAACTACATGAATTTCAGCACTTCTCCCTTTCATTACATTCTGAAAAATCCTAATTCAGTCTTGGTCTTGACTGGGTCTGGCCTCCTGGACGCCGGCCGATGATGTCTATGGAGACATTTGAGCTAAATCTGTAAACACACAATACATTTTTCTCGTTTCAGTTTTTCATTTTTTTAAAGATTAAGCTGTGGTTTCCGCGATTCGACCCAAATCGACGATTTCCTCTTTAAGCCGTGGTTTAGGTTTTATTTCTAAAGTTTTCTAAATATGTATTTTTTTTTAAGTTCTTTTAAAGATGGCTCTGTTACAACCCATTTTTTGTCCTTTATATTCACTTTTTGTTGCAGATGTGTGACTGTAGTTTTAATGTGTCTGTTTTGCTTCCTCTCACCAGCCATGGCGGGAAACATTATCCCAGCAATCGCCACCACTAACGCTGTCATTGCTGGACTCATCGTGCTGGAGGCACTGAAAATACTAAACTCTGACTTCCAGCAGTGCCGTACGGTAAGAAACACTTTACAGTCCTAATCAAAAGCCACTAGTGCTCATTGACCTGTGTTTATTATGGAGTCTTTTTTTATATAGCAGAACTACTCCCACTAAAATGCTTCAACTGCCTTACAAAAGGCATGTTTTCTAGTTTCTTTTTCTGACTATTTTCTGTTGTTACTAATTTATTTATTCATTCCTTCATTTAATTTTTTTATAGTGTTTAAAATCAAGAACTTTAACACTTCCTGCACTCCCTGCACAGTAATGCCTCTTCCTGCAGTGATGCCTCTATTTAAGAGGTAGAACAGGTGCATTAGGTATTAGGTACAACACAAAGCCGGGGGTCTTCAGGACTGGAACTAAGAGGGGCCATGTGAGTGATATCTTTTCTGTATGAAATTGTCCCCTCAGATCTTCTTGAACAAGCAGCCGAACCCCAGGAAAAAGCTGTTGGTTCCGTGCGCCCTGGACCGGCCTAATCCCAACTGCTACGTCTGCGCCAGCAAACCTGAAGTAACGGTCAAGCTCAACGTGCACAAAACCATCGTACAGGCTCTACAAGACAGAGTATGGATTAATATGAACTTATTTATTCCTTTAGTAAAACAGTAAATTTCCTGTTTTAATATTTGCTCCTGTTTTCTTTCCTAATCATTAATATTAAATCAGAATTTATGAATCTATTTTTTATTTTTTCTTAGACTTGTTTCATATTCTTCATTAATATGTATAAATTAAACATATTGGAGTTCCGTAGAGGTATTATAGCTTCAGCCCAGGTTTCATCCATATTTACAGGATTTCATTTCATCCTTCATTCCAGCCTCCTTAAATAACCAGTAAGCTTCTGATGTGAGATCAGAACTGTTCATGTTTTCTGTTAATATTGACACCCGTCTGTGTTTTGACAGATACTGAAGGAGAAGTTTGGCATGGTGGCTCCAGATGTGCAGATAGAAGACGGAAAGGGTACGATCCTCATCTCCTCAGAGGAAGGAGAGACGGAAGGTGAGGCTGCGGTTTACCACAACGTGCGTAAAGACTCGAGCCAGAATTAGGGTCAGATTAGACAGAACTAATGTCACGATACTTTGGAACTTTTCACAGTACATGATATTTATTTTTCCAGACATCTGATTAGTCAGATCAGACCAAGTAATGCTACATTTAAAAAACGGCACCAAAAGCTATGAATCCTGCTCCCGAGTGGCGCAACCGTTTTAAGCGTTGGGCCTATCATCAGGAGATTACGAGTTCGGTCTCTGGTGGTGCTACAGCCGTCCGTGACCAGGAATCCATGAGAGCACAATTGGCCTCGTTCTCTGGGTGGGTAGGATGGCCCCCCGTCTCCCCCCATCACTGGCATAACAGAATTGGTGGTTGGCACTTTCCTCGGAGCACGTTCGGCTGTCCAGTGACGTTGCGCAGTTCGAAAAGATGCAGTGGCGCTTCATAGGATTTGAAGGAATCCTGTGCTAGCCTTCGCTCTCCTAGCGCTGGCGGTATCATGTGACTGGGGGAGTCCTAACTGGTGGGTGGAATTGGAAATTACTAAATTGGGGAGAACATTGGGGAAATCCAAAAAAAACCCAGAAAACTATGAAACCAATACATTTTAGCCAGCATTTCACATACTGCACTGCACTGCACTGCACTGCACTAAATACAGTTCAGTTTGTAATTATGCTCTTTTTCTTATTGGATGTGCATTTGGAAAGTGTTTTTTTTTAAGTGCTGACGAAATCCAAATATGCTCAGAAAGGCAAATTGTGACATTTGTGGCATAATTTATCATGTCAGGGTCAGAACTAAATTCTGCCAATGTCTGGCTCATCCAGCTTATCCAGGATATCTGTACTAGTATTTTCTCCCTAGCTTTGCCAGCATCGTGTGATTGAGCACTGAGGAAGTACAAATACATCTGCTGTTGTTTGGTAGCGCCACATGTGCTGCTTGGTCTTGTCTGGACTGTCTTACGTTTTGGAGCTAAATTTTTCAGAAATGTTGGGCATCACTATTCCAGCAGTTGACCTTTTTCCCTGAAATACTAGCAGAGCTGTGAAGGGTAATTACATCTGTGAAACATCCCTGTTTATCAACCTTTTGATATCTCCTTGCAGCAAACAACAACAAGTTTTTGTCAGACTTTGGGATTCGGAACGGCAGCCGTCTACAAGCTGATGACTTTCTCCAGGATTACACGCTTCTGGTCAACGTGCTGCACTGGTAAGTGACACTGTCTTTTTCAAATTTCTGAGATTTTTCGAGGTACTGTACTTAGTAATTTTCATGTGTGTCAGTGAGGAGATGCCAAGGGATGTGGAGTTCGAGGTGGTCGGCGATGCCCCTGAAAAACCTCCAAGTGCCCCAGAGGAAGAGAAGAGCATCGCCAACGGCAACAAAGACGCCGCCCAGCCCTCTACCTCATCTAAAGGTAAGTCAGCCCAGTTTTGGATCTCAGTTGAGTTAGATTTCCTTTCAGTTTATATTCACAATAAACAGATTTATGACAAATTGAACAGTGAATTTGAACCAGTGATGCATTTTTGCCAAAGATGAGATTATAGCATGTTGGTGAGACTAATAAAGAAGTCCCTAGTTATGATAGAACTTTGGTTCATGCCGTTTATGGGATATTAGATCTAAATTCTTAGTAGCTATTGATATTCTGGTTGATCATTACCATGTTAGCATTGTGGTTGAACTAATTGTTTTTGTTCTCTGCTTAGCTGTGGTCGAAGATGATGACGTTCTCCTCGTTGACTCTGACGAAGAACCGTCCTCCAGCACCACAGACGTTTCCACGGAGGCCGGCAGCCTAAAACGAAAGCTCCACGACGCAGAAACGGGTGAAGCCGCGTCCAAGCGCAAACGCCTCGACCAGCAGACGGCTGACGACGACGATGACATCATCGCTCTCGACTAGCGTCCTCTAGCCTTCCCTCCTTCCAGAGGGGCTTCTGTTTTTGTCATACTGTTTCCATTACCAGTACCAACCATATGTAAATATATCTGTACAAAAACTGCTGAGAGCTGGATGGATGTGTCTTCTCGTTATTTTTCTTCTCCTGTTGTTTTGGTTTTTTTTTTTTTCTGAACAGAATAAGGAGATTTCGGGGGTGCGTTCAACACAGACTATGTTCAGAGGCTTTCTGAACTTTATTATTATTATTATTATTTTTTTTACAGCAGTGTACACGTTATGGATATCTTTATGGCCGAAAGAAATGCTTAATGTATTTCAGAGTGTTTTACCATCAATGTTAAAACGTTCCATATTTATTATTTTTTTGTAAACTTCCAGAAAACCGGAAAAGCAGATGCCGTTTCACAGAAAACAGCGTATTTGCTTCTCTATTCCATCCGTTCAGCAAGTTTCTCTTTAACAAAAAAAAAATGTTGTAACCGCATCTTTTTTTCTTAAATACATTTTGAAGGCAGTTATTTATTCCTCCATGTGCTGTGCTTTGTTCTCTAAAGCAGGATTCTCAAGCTTACTGTTTTCTTGGACTCGGCACACCTCGTTCAACTCGTTAGTGGTTTTCCATGTAGAATTTTATACATCAAATCTGAGAAGTCTGATCTAATGATGATGAGGCCTGCCAGGATTTGAATATGAAACCCCAGTGCTAAAACATCAGTGATCTATAAGCTCAGTTTTGTCCAGAAAGAGCAGCTGAATAAATAGATAACGACTCGGTGCATCTGAATTCCTGTATCCCACCCAAGAACAGACTGTTCTCTGGATGTGCCTCGACCTCCCATAGGGGCAATATTGCAGTTGCACATAGAGTTTATCGTACGTGCTCAAGACGTGTGGGACGCCTTATTGATGAATGAAAACACGCTGTTTTTCTGAACGTGGGCTAATGTTTACATTGGGGGAGGTCAAGAGTCCAAACTCAGCTTGTTAGTAGTGTAAGGGTTCATCCAAGTGCTCGTTTGGCTGATACCTGTTACCTAGTTGGCACGTCCACAGCCCATGATGTCAGATGTTTGTATTTTGATGACCTTCTCTGAGCCCCATGGTTTTGTGTCACTGTGGATGCTTGCAGGATGTATTTGAATATAGAAGGTTTTGGGGGCGGGGGGCACTTTTTCAACAGCTGTACTTGTATGTTTTGTTATAACACGTTTACAGACATTGTTATTAAAGGCCACACACCTCTGTTTATAATCCCTTTGATTTTTGCGTCCAGCAACAATTAACTTGCCTTTCGGCCTCAGTCGTTTTGGCCGGCCTCGGTTTCGGCCCTGTCTGTGCAGGTAGAGATGATGGTAGTCATCTATAATGTCCCTGCAGTGCTGTATTATTATGATTTATGATTTATAATGTATGGGTTATTGTAGACTATAGTAATTGAATATGCTGTGCATTTCTTATAGGAGTCCTGTATGTAGTTTTACTATAGTGCACTCTTAAAGATGGTTCTTCAAGGGTTCTGTTCAGAAGCATGAGTGCTTAAATGGTTCTTTGCATGATGAAGTGGTTCCTCAGAATGATGGAGAATATGTTGTGTATGGTTTATATAGAACATTTTTCAAAATGGTTCTGTATGGCACCAAAAGGGGTCAAGCTATTGTTACACTCTTAAAAACAACGGTTCTTCAAGGGTTCTTTAGTAAAGAAAAATGGTTCTATATAAAACCATGAACACTCAAGGGCTCAATTTAAAACCTTGAGTTCGAAATAGAACGATTTCATGCTTAAATGGTTCCTTGCATGTTGAAATGGTTACTCGGTTGCATTTCGGTTCTTCGTGGGTACTTCAGTTAAAAAAAAAAAGTTCTGTGTAGAACCAAGAACACTGAATGGTTCTATTTAGAATGATGAGTTCTGTGTATAACCATTCATGCTTACCTGGTTCTTTGCATGGTGAAATGCTTACTCAGAATGACGGAGAATGTGTTTATGGTCCTATATAGAACCTTTTTGAAAATGGTTCTGTATAGCACCAAAAAGCGTTCAGCTATTTGTTACACTCTTAAAACAGTGGTTCTTTAAGGGTTCTTTAGTAAAGACAATGGTTCTATATAGAACCATGAACACTCAAAGAACCCTTTGCAGGATTAAAGGGTACTTTATCGCGAAAGGGTTCTTCAGATCGATACAGAATGTGTTGATTATGGTTCTATATAGAACCTTCTGAGAAGAGTTCTGCTGTTCTTGTGATACAAGCTTGTAGCAACAGAAGAGCCCTTTCTGGTGCTGTTAACCATTTAAGCATGAAATGAAATTGTTCTATATAGAACTTTTGCCTTTATTACAGAACCCTTGAAGAACCATCATTTTAAGAGTACTTTTTCTTAAATAGTGACCCTTCAGACAGTGGAACTCGGTGGTTTTCTGTGTTTTTGTGTTTCCTCTGCTCTGTCTGAGCTCAGGAAGAGTTGACAAGTACTTGATTGGGTCAGTAGGACGAGATGAGCAGAGCGGAGGGTCTTTAGGACCAGGACTGAGAACACAAATGATTGCGTAAGCAGAAACGCCCCTCAGAGGAGGCAGCTGATTGGATGGCGCTCTCCGGGCCCCCTTCCCCTCCCCCACTGCAAGCCTAACGTTCTGTTTAAAGCTTCAAATTGAAATGCTGATCGACTGATACGTCAAATTGTCCAAGATATAGGAAGATATTTCAGTTGTTGTCGGTTTGTATGGTTTTCGGCTTTATTCGCGCTCCAAACGGGTCACTCCTCAGTGAGCATCATCACTTTGCTGGTGGTTTTTTACCCCCTAAACGCCATTTTGTGTACAATCAAATTAGACAACACTACTGAGAAATAAACAGGTCGTTAAACCTTAAAGCCCACATTACATTTTCAGTGCAAAGTAAGAAAACAAAACTCGACGTTTCGGTGCATGTTTAGGGCCGCGTTCCAATATGCGCATTTGTGCCCTAACTAGAGCCCTAGGGTAGAAGTAGAACTGTAGCTTTGTAAAATCACAGCTTTAAGGATTCCTGTTAAAGGGAAATTACAGCTGTTTTAAGAATTATCAGCTTAATTAATTGGTTAAGATGTAAACAGAGTCAGAGTCAGTTTCAGTGTGAAACGCTCAGGGTCTAGAGAAACTTACTGAGTCCGAACTGTTCACAGTGGTGGTGATAGGAACCAGACGTCCACCTCTACAAGCTCCCTCACAGAAAGTTATTACACGAAATGGTCATGAATACACTGCCTGATGACTGAGACACTGCTTTACCAAAGATTTGGCTTAAAAGATATTTTTAAAATCCAGTCAGGGTGGAGTGATATATGCAAGGTGCTATGAGGTAAAATAGTCCCCTAAAGATTTTTTTTTTCCAGATTTTCCACTATTTTACCATCATCAACATTCCATATAAACTCAGAAGACTCGTGTAGGTTCACTGGTGGTTTTGGAGAGTAAATAAAATATCTATATTTGTGTTGTAATCATGGCGACCCCTGGTTCCTATCACCACCACTGTAAAGACATCTGAACCATTTCACTGAAAAATGAAGAACTGAAAATGCAAAAAAGAAATATTTCTGAATTTGTGTTAATGGGTTCGCAGCATTGTATCTATTATCTGTGATCCATTAACCCTCAGGTTCCCATATCTTGTCCTGGAGGACTCTGTGTGCTGAACATTTAAGTCTTTTTCCTGTTTCTAACACGCCCACTTCAAGTCATAAAGGGCTTGTTATTGAGCTGATTAGTTTGGACAGTGGAGTTGGGAGCAGGGAAGCACTGAAATGTGCAGTACAGGGGATCCTCCAGGACCAGGCTTGGGAAATACTGCACTAACCTAACATTTCCCAAACTTTAAGGCCCCCTTTCTGGATGGTACGTGTCCACAAAGCCCCCCAAAGTCATTACTCTCACTTAATGACCATGTCTTACGACAACACTGTTTTTCTCACTATTGCTGAACTGCGCATAGACCCTCGGCCCTGTTATATGACATTACGACTCATATGACTCAACAAGTGGGCGAAGTGTGGCTGTGAGTTGCGATTGACTTGCATGTTTAATTTTAATATTGTTTAAAAACATCTACCATTTTGAACACGTTTCATGTTTTAGATATGGCCAAATCAGATTCAAGCTTGTTAAGTGGAGACACAACCTGTGAGATTTTCTGCGGCCCCTTTATTTGCCCCAGTTTGGAGAACCACTTTAAACAACATGTACTTGTGTAAACTGCTGTGTGGCCCAATATCTCTCTCTCTCTCTCTCTCTCTCTCTCTCTCTCTCTCTCTCTCTATAAACACAGGAACCAGTACCTTACCCATGATCTCCGGCAGAAGGAACCCAGACAGTTCTCTCTGGAGGGAACCATGGCTAGGAGAACAGGGTTCCACTCCAAGAACTCAATTTTAGAAATTTTAAACCATCCAGAATTCAAAGCGAGGCAAGTTTACTTACTAGCACCTTTCATACTCTGCGGCCATTCAAAGTGCTTTCCAAATGAGAAAATACAAAGATAATTCAAATTTAATTTAAAAAGATGTCGAAGAATAGAAATTAACAACATGATTAAAACATGCTTCCGAACAATATATTAAAAAAAAGGAAATTAAACATTAAATTAAAGGTCAAATTAAAAATTAAACTAGGTTAGTAAAGTGCCGTTACAGTAGAGTAGTGCAGTCGAGCTAACAGTGTTTTAATAAACTGAAAGCTGCTCAAATAGGATCGTTTCTAATGAAGGCCAAACTTGTAAACACTAGCTAGGCATTCTATTAAGAGCACATGCCCGCATATTGGAACGCGGCCTCCCCTGAAGTTTGACTCCGCCTCGTTTTTCACTTTCCACCAATCACGGAACGGAGGCAGCGACGCGTCATACATCACAGGCAATACCGAGCCTCGATTGCGTTGAGTAACAGCTGGGCGTGTTGGTGTAAATATCCGTTAAAGTCAGCGTGCAGGACCGAACACGACAGTCGCTCAGAGACGCTACCCGTGTGTTTTGTGAACTCAGTTTACTTTCGGGAACGCTCGTTTTTACCGCAGTGATGGTGATCTTAGCCGCGGTTGTAGCTCCGCTCGGCCGGCAGCTCCAGCGCAGCCTCGCCGGACGGATCCGATGGCACCAGCAGCAGCTGCAGCCCGCTCGGAGATGCAGCCTGACCGCCTGCTCCAGCAAATACGCCCTCTCCCAGCGTAAGCTGCACCACCACATTACTGCACTGTGCACTTTAAAATAGTCAGGTCACTCGCTGTAAATGAGAAATTCGTATTCGCCAGCTTTTCATTCGAATTTTCCGTTCCACCTTAAATGGCGCGGCAGTGTAAGCGGCAGCGCTGTAGCTGTTTACATGCTCCACAATGGAAGTGCTGCACCGTTTAAGGTGGAACGGAGAATTCGAAAAAAGAAGCGAACTACTGCCTCGTAATTTTGCCATCCTTTAAAAAAATGAGCAATAATGTGACAGAAAAGCTGTTTATTCCGGAGTTTACACCTATAGTTGTAGTTATTTGACTAATAACGTGAAAAAGCTTCACTTGGCCCAACTTCACCTGCTCTGAACTGTCCAGAGGAGGAAAACATGTGCATATCAGACATTATACACGGATATAGTTACAGATGTATATGCAGATTAACTGAAAGATAAGACTGTCTGCAGTGACTGTACACATTTTTATTAGAAATGTTCATTGAAGGTGCTGAACAAGATACGAGGCTGAAGTTGGCTTCCTATTTTCCCCGTTCCACCTTAAATGGTGCAGCGGGTACAGTCTGCCGCCTCGCCAAAATAGAGCTGCTGCACCATTTAAGGTGGAACGGGAAAATTCGAAGGAGAAGCCAACAGCTTCGTGAACAAGATATGTAGCTACCCTGAAAGTGAAGTTTGAGTTGAAACTACTTTTGGTTTACAGACTTAGTGACTTTAAAAGTCTTAATTATCTATATATATATATATATATATATATATATATATATATATATATATATATATATATAAAAGCAAAACACCCTACACTGAAGTTTAATTTCCCACAATAATAATCAATAATAATGACAAGGATGAGGATATGACTGACAGTGAGCATCCTGTGCACGTTTGGAGTCAAATTCCTGAATGAATATGTTCTTAAAATGATGAAATATCTATATTTTTAGCTTTATTAAGGCATGAAAGGCATGAAAACCTTATCACCCAGCAGTAACGTTGAAGGGGAACTCCACCAATGTTTCAAAATCTATGCATAATTAAATGGTTAACAAGTCAACAGACTCATTCAGGGTGGTTTGGTGTGAAACGCTTGGTCCTAGAGAAACTCTGAGTCAGAACTGTTCACAGTGGTGGTGATAGGAACCAGACGTCCACCTCTAAAAGCTCCCTCACAGAAGGTTATTACATAAAGTGCTTATGAATGCACTGCCTCATGTCTGAGACATTGTTTTACAACAGTTTTGTGACAAAATTTTGGTCTAAAATGTATTTTAATCAGTTCATTCTTATCCATTCATAGTGGAGGGGTACATGAAGCGTGTTCCAAGGCTAAATAGTCTCCAAAGAAAACTTATTTTATCAGATTGACCATTATTTTACCATCAAACATGGCTGTATTTGTGGTGTAGACATGGCGACCCCTGGCTTAGTTTCTCTACAGTGAACCATTTCACATCAAACCTCTCTGAATGACTTTGTTTACATCCCAACCGCAGAATTATACAGAAATTTTGAAAAATTGGTGGAGTTCCCCTTTAACCTGAGTCTGTGGCCTTTATTGACCTTTCAGAAAACGATGCTAGTGAGAGGAGTTAGCTGAGCTAGCGCTGCTAGCTGCACCATAACAGAAGTTATTAATCTAATCCTTAAAAAAAAAATAGGATAGGTTTGATGTATTTGGCAAAGGACTAAATTAAGTTATCTAGAACACTCAGGCTTAAAGTTCAGGCTGCGTTTTGTGGTCAGATGTGATTGAAATGGTGGGGTTCTGTGTTTTTGCACACTTCCTCCTCTGTGACAGGAGCCCAGATGGCTGTGTGTTCAAAAAAAAAAAAGAAGATATTCTATATAGCACCAAAAAGGGTTCTGCTATTGTTACAATGTCAAGTCTTTTCAATAAGGTTCTATATAGAACCATATGTAACACATTCCCCATCAATCTGAAGAACCGTTTCACCATCCAAAGAAGCATTTAAGCATGAAATGGTTATTTTTCTTTATTGAACTTGTGAATCAAAATAAAACCATTCCTTTTACCAGAAAACCCTTGAAGAACCATCTTTTTTAAGTGTTCAAGGTAAAAATCTGATTTAATGTTGTTTAAATCAGCTCCTAAATTGAGAAATAGCACCATAACTGTCAGACTAATACCCGTTGATGTCATTAATGGTTGCTGTCCAACAACTAAAATTGGTATGAATTGGAACGAGGCCACAGAACTTGTTCTGATTGGTCTAAAATGCTAAAATGTTGCCTTGGTTTTGTAATTTAGCCCTGTTAGCTGTGCCCTAGATGAATATGTAACAGTGCCCGTTTGAGTTTTAATGATCATATGTAATTTTCATACTTTTATGTACCATCAAATGTGGGTTTTCTGTTGTTTTGTGAAAACAATCAGTAAGTTTTTATGAAAAAAAGAGTAGATTTAGTGCGATAAACGTTATTTAAAGTGATAAAATGATTAAAAATGGTGGAAAACTCACTTTTGAGCCACATGGCTTGAAGTATTTGAAATGCCTTTTAAGATTTAAGTGTATCCAAAAATGCTGTGTATCCTTTCATAACATTTTGGCTGTAATGAGTTTTGCAAAGCCGACGTATAACAGAAAAAAAACACATTTTTATTTCTCTAATAAAGGTGGTATTAATCATATAGCATCGATGTTTCTTATATGTGTGAAGCCCACCCCCAATAATATCATATAAAGGAAGTAAACTCTTGAAAGGGGTCTATAATGCGCTTGGACTGATTCAGAAATGGACACCTGCATGTTGTGGGTTATGTAATCATGTAACGCCTGTTTTTTTCTGTATGATTCCATAAATCATTTACCTTAAACCACCTGCATTTACTTTGAATAATTTTGAATAGTTATAGGACTCGCCCTGCTGAAGAAGAACACTCTGTCTTGTTTATGGTTTCCACAGAATTACCTGCAGCGCTGAATCAACTCTTACAGTGTTGGACACTCAGTGTTTCATTTATGTCTGCCTTTATATGATAATTAAACTCTTTTTTGCTGTCCATGCACTGGTCACCTCTAGAGCTGATGTCTGGTATTTCCAAACACTGTGCATTACCTAATACATCCAAAATGAACCGGTGAGCACAGATAACATGTTTAGCAGCTCACAAAGCTGTTGAAATGTCAACATTGCGATTGCAGATGCATTGTGTGCCGAGTCTGGAGTGACGTTGGAAGTAAAGATTAAAGCAAATTCCACGGACCTTATCAGATTATTCAACACAGAGACGTCCATATCTGGCGTTTAGTTTAATGATTTGGTTTAAATGATAACTCTGATAATCGTCTGATGTGTGTGGGTATTTTTACGTTTTGGTGAAGCACTAATCCTGTGCTGAACTCCTCGTCAGATGACTGAACATTCTTGTGTGTGAACTGTGTGGAAAGTTCATCTTTCCCTCCCAGTTTTGTTGGGTTGAAGGATTTATGTCGATGTGGTTTTAGCACCACAACAAAAATGCTGTTTCATTTTCAAGCCAGAGGGTTAGGAGGGAAAAACTGTGTGGTACGTTACTTTTTAGAGTTATTTTTCAGTTTTATTTTTATGTAAATATATAGGAGACCTCATGTTCACTTAAAGGGAAATTCCAGAAAATTTTCAAAACTTTTGCACAAGCCAGTCATTGAGATGTAAACAGAGACATTCAGAGTGGGTTGGTGTGAAATGGTTCGGACGTCTTTACAGTGGTGGTGATAGGAACCAGGGGTCGCCATGACTACAACACTGATATAGACATTTTATTTACTATCCAAAACCACCAGTGAACCCACACGAGTCGCCTGAGTTTATATATGGAATGTTGATGTTGGTAAAATAGTGGAAAATCTGGAAAAAAAGCCTTGAAACACCCTGCATGTGTCCGTCCATCATGAATGTATGTGAAAAAATATGGTTTCAGCCAAAAGCTTATCCCAAAACTATAATAAAACAGTGTCTCCGGCATCAGGCAGCGCATTAATAGCCATTTTATGTAGTAATTTTCTGTGAGGGAGCTTTTAGAGGTGGACGTCTGGTTCCTGTCACCACCACTGTGAACAGTTCTGACCATAAGTTCTTTTAGAGTGGAGCGTTTCACACCAAACCACTCTGAATTCCTTTGTTGACAACTTATTGATTTAATTATGCAGAAATTTAGTAACGTTGGTGAAGTTCCCCTTTAAGGTCATGACTTCTACTTCATTTGAAACGGTTTAAAGCAATTACAGCACCAACTCGAGACCAGCAGACTCATAAAATCTCTTCCTGGTCACATTCCTGACCGCTTACATTCAGCTCTTTTGCAAACTCGCATGCTGAGCAGCACATGTGACTTTCTAATCATAGCGTTTATAAAGGAGTTTCTCAAAATGTAGGTTTTCTTCAGCGTGCAGCGCTGCAGCTCGTTGTCTCAGGGAGTGCAGTCTTCCAAAGAAAAGTTCATTCATTACTGGGATTAAAGCCAGACGGATCGTGTTCCTGCTGGGAAAGCAAGCAGCTTTTATTCCAGCACATTCCGAATGGCACGGTTTCCTCTGCTTTTCTGTTATTTGCTGGGTTCCTCTGAGTCACAGAAGGAAGCGGTTCCTTTAGGTCTGATTCCATTGGTAGATTCTGACATCGTGACCAAGTTTTATTACTCACTTCGTGGCAGCTTGAATCGAACGGAAAAGCTCTCTCAGTGCTTTATTACACTGTAATAATGTGTAGCAACGCGTGTGAAGCGGCGGAATGGATTAAGAAAAGTAGGTCGAGGTTTTTTTTGTGTTTTTTATCTTTTTTCTTACTGGTATAGAATCACACTCCTCCTGTAAAGGGTGCAGTTTCTCAGCTCAGATGTGGCCTCTTGCTCCTGCTGTTATCTTGGCTGTTTAATGACCTGGACTTTGTTTTCAGTGCACCCAATGTGGCAGGAGCCTCTGGCCGTCCCGGGCGGAGATCGCCAGTCGCCCATCGACATCTCTGTACGGAAAAGCTTGTTTGACCCGCAGCTTAAGCCGCTCGTCATGAAGTACGACCCCAGGACCTGCCAGCAGATCTGGAACAACGGCTACTCTTTCCTCGTAGAGTACGATGACACCACGGACAAGTCCAGTAAGAGATACTTGATTCAAAGGGCAGTTCCACCAATGTTTCAAAATTGGTTAGTTTAGTGATAGAGATGTGAGTAAAGTCATTCAGAGTGGTTTGGTGTGAAATGGTTCACTGTAGAGGACTCTACACACTCGGACTGTCTTTACAGTGGTGGTGATAGGAACCAGGGGTCGCGATGACCAGCGAAGGTCAACGAGTTTTATATATAATCTTTATAATGATGAAATAGTAGTGGGGGACACTTTTGCCTCACAACACCCTGCATGTACCCCTCCATCATTCATAGATTTACATTTAAGGCCAAACTCTTCTCAAAACTATCATAAAACAACGTCTCAGGCAGCAGGCAGTGAATTCATAACCATTTCCTGTAGTAACTTTCTGTGAGGGAGCTTTTAGAGGTGGACGTCTGGTTCCTATCACCACCACTGTGAACAATTCTGACTCTGTAAGTTTCTCTAGAACAGAGCGTTTCACACCAAACCACTCTGAATGACTCTGTTTACGTCTTAACCCTTTAAATATGTGGAAATTTTGAAAAATTGATGGAATTCCCCTTTAAATTGAAAGCCACCCCTTTTACTGATCTAAACTGATTAAAACTGATTTAATTGCACTGACCATTCATTAAGACTTTGAATACTGTGTGAATATTTTGTCTTTAGACCCATATTTTACATTTTTGCTCGCATTTTACTAATTTTAGTCACTTTATGTCGTCTGTGTGCTTTAATGTGTGAAGAACAGCAGTGAGTCATTTTTACATGACCTCATTTTCCAGCCTCTCTTCATCCCTCTGAATTAAACAGGCTGTTTCTGTTTCTGTGCCTTTAAGAGTGATTTGTGGAAATGAGCTCAGCTTTACCCAAAAGAATAATCCCACTGAGCGCTGCAGGCCGTTATATGTGAACGTGTTCATGGCTGGAACATCACAGCCATTCTGAAACAACACTCTTAAAAACGTCACAAGAGGTTCTTTGAGTGATGTACTTTTGGTTCCCTGGAGAACCGTGTTTGAAGAAGGGATCTGTGAGCGTAAAGAACCTTTTAAAGGTTTAGAGAATCGTCACGTAATGAAACAGTTCTGTACCAGTTTAAGGGTTCTTCCTAGAAGCTTTGCTTTGCATTATGGGGAGGTTCTTTAAGCTTTGAAGAAGGTTCCTCAGACTTGCACCTCATGTACAAAACTGGTTCTCTGAATTGTTCTCATAAGAAACCAAAAGTAGCAAAGACCCCTTTGTGTCACGATATGCTTATCATTATTGTGATAAATATTGTAATAAGTGTCCCAATAAGGCTCTCTGAGTATATTGTGTATCACAAGAACCTTTTTGAAAAGTGTTCTGTATAGCACCAAAAAAAGGGTTCTTCTATCATTACGACAACAAGCTTTTTACAATAAAAGAACCTTTTTTGGTGTTACATAGAACCCTTTTAATAAGGTTCTATATAGAAACATTTACAGCACATCCTCCATCAATCCGAACAGCCGTTTCAAGATACAGAGAACTCTTTAAGTATGAAAAGGGTTCTTTGAGCATTTACGGTTCTATATAGAGCTGTTTTCTTTACTAAAGAACCCTTGAAGAACCATCTTTTTGAGTGTGTAGCATTGTCTTAGGCTTTAATTGGGGAAGTTTGAGCTAATGAAGCAGAGCTTGAACTGGCAGTCTGGCACACTACGCTCAGTGTTCAAGCCTCAAGTCTGAAGAAGTGGTTGTGCTGGTCTTCTTGGCAAAATAAAAGTCCTGGGGAGTTAGCTTATAGAAAATAATAGCATTTAAATCTCAATCAGAGTATTGGTAAGAAAAATCAGTTAGATATTTTAGTTATCAATTAGATATTTTCCTCAAATTGTTGATCAGGTTCTGACTTATTTCATTTCTCTGAGGTTTGATATTATGATGCATATTGTGTGTTGTGAAAATGCCTTGAAGTATTGTGATGGCATATTTTCGCTACCACTAACACGGTGTGGACACATAATATTGACATACGAAAACTCCTTTATTTATTTTTAATATTAAAATGTTATTTTTCCTTTTCTAACTTGTTTTGTGTTAGCGCTGCATGGTGGTCCGCTGGAGGATCAGTTCAGACTGTGCCAGTTCCATTTCCACTGGGGGGAGAATAACGCCTGGGGGTCTGAACACACGGTGGACCGTCTCCTCTACCCCGCTGAGGTACTTGCACAGCAGTCTGTACTGAGAGATTGTTATGAATCACTGAATAAGAAACAGATCAATTTAATTTTACACTAAAAAAAAGTGCAGCACTCAATTAGAGGTCTGCGCGGGACTGTTTTTTCAGTCCTGCTTCTGTCCTCTCCCCCAAAATTTCATCCCGCTCCCCCAAAAATCTGAATCATTTGTTCCGCTCCCGCCCGCAACCGAAATGTTTTGGCCCACGCAGTTCTGTCACGGTGAACTAACATCCAATATCTGACACAGTCTAATCACAAACACATTATCCATCAGCTCACTGTGAGTAACTTCACCAAACACCGTTTATACTCAGTAAACACAGAGCAGGAATCAAACCGCAGAGCGGTTATTTTTCAGGCTGAAGGCTCCGCGTCTCTGTAAGCTACGAGAATTTGTGTGCTGTTCAGGTGATCGGTTGCCTTGCGGCTCTTTAGATTGATTTCATTCATTTTAACTGTTTAATTGTTTGTATATATGATTTAGTGATCATTCTGCTTAATTTAGGCTGTCATTCATTTGTGGGATTTCTCTATATGCATGCTTTGTCCTGCTCCCGCCTGCAGTGAGCTGGTTACCCACCCGCTCCCATGCACAGCACTGAAAATTAGTGCAGAAAGAAAATTAGGCAGGAATCCGTGGGAGTGCAGACCTCGACATTAAATTGTCTTGGTTTAAATGTGTGCATTAATTTCCACAAAAAGAAAATGACAAACACAATTACTGCGAAAAGTAATTAAAAGACAAAACTGTGCTGATGTAATCTATTTGAAATATGTGTGGAAATAGACCTGTGCTGGTAACGCAGTTAACAGTTGTTTGGGCGCCCCTGGGCTAATTTTATGTGTTGTTGAGTAAATATAAGAGAGAAAATATAAGAGAACACATCCTCTACAGAGAACACACGTTTCATTACCGCCGCCCCCCCAAAAAAAAACAGCATAGAAACTGTGCACTAAAATTTGTCACATTCGACTTACTTTCACTTAGAAAATCACCACATTATGTAATTTGAGGCTGTTTTTTGCTAACTTTTTCATACAACGATGTTCAGGAAAACAAGTGGAAAATAAACACAGTAAACCGTTAAACCATATCAGGGGGTGCTGAAGTTTATTCTTTAAAAAAAATGATTAAATATTATAATGGCAACACGTTTTCATCTGTTAATGTTATTAGGATCCCTGACACGTGGAGACGCAGAGGACTGGGGGGGTTTAAATTGCGGTATATTAGTTTTTACTTTCAAGTGGTAACTTGATTAAGCGTCACTGGGCACAGGCCTGTGTGGAAATGGTTCGCGCGTTTGAAGTACACTCACTTCCTTTTTTCAATGTATTGTAGGAAATGAAAGCACAGTTATTTAACATTTTCATAAACAAATAAAAGGACCCATGTGCAGCATTTCCTGTTCTGTAAGCCTGGTTTAATAGCACTGCCACGTCCTATTGTTTCTCTGCTCTTGAGTGACGATATGACAGACAGAAAATGACCTTCTGCTTCCTCGTAGAATAAAATAACTCCCAAGTCTGTCATAACACACGGCAGGCACACCGTTTTGTTTTTTTCACAATTTCTATTTAATTCATTGATTCAGATGTAAACAGAGACATTCAGAGTGGTTTGGTGTGAAATGGTTCAGATGTCTTTACAGTGGTGGTGATAGGAACCAGGGGTCGCCATGACTACAACACAAATATAGACGTTTTATTTAATATCCAAAACCACCAGTGAACCAACACGAGTCTTCTGAGTTTATATAAGCAATATTGAAGATGGTAAAATAGTAGACAGTCTGAAACAATAAGTTTTCTTCAGGCCTGTATAAAACATGTTTTTTAGGTTAAAATATTCTCAAATCTATCATAAAACAGTGTCTCAGTCATCAGGCAGTGAATTCATAACCATTTCATGTAACGACTTTCTGTGAGGCAGCTTTTAGAGGTGGATGCCTGGTTCCTTTCACCACCACTGTGAACAATTCTTACCCGAGCATTTTACACCAAACCACTCAGAATGACTTAACACTTTAAGGCTTTAGCCACGCAGAAATAAAAAAATTGGTGGAATTCCCCTTTAAATTGTGAGTTAAGTGAAAGCAATTGTTAAGGGAGTCAGGTTATGTATGTTTCTGAGTTAAAACACAAAAACATTTTAACAGCATGTAATTTAGACACATAAACAGTGATGTTTCCATGGAGAGCTGACCTGTCCACACTCCGCCCTCAGATGTGGTCTTTCATAACCGCTTTTGTTAAACTAGGCAAAATTATGAATGAATAAAGAACATGACTGTACTAAATATCTGGGCCATTAAACGCTGGTTACTCCTGACCTGTGGCCACTGGCAGACAGTCTGACTGCTAATAATGTCAGCGTATCTTACGTCACTATCACACGCGGGTGACAGTGTTGCAACGCCAGCCGCGTGTGGAACAGAGGGCAGAGGCTGGGCGGATAGGAAACGCCTCTGGTTCTGAAGTAGAGCGTTCCTGGTGAAATGTTTTGGCCTTCAGTCCTGCGTGTGCAAGTTCTGGCAACGTCTGTGATAACAGTACACCTCCCAGAGCTGTGGCATGACTCGTTCAACTTACTCAGTTACATCAGCTACTCAGAGGGAACGTTTTCAGTGGATTTGTACTTTCTTGAGTGATTTCAAATGAAAAAATAGAAAAAAACCTGCGCCAAAATTTTACCCGTGGAAGTTTTTCAGCTGAAAATTGGTCTAAAGTGGTGCTGTTTTCATCTGAAAGTAAAAAGGGCAGAAATTGTTGGCCTGAAAAAGCAAAAGATTAAACAGGACTACAATAATGTGTTGAAATTGAACACTTAACATCCATCCATCCATTATCTAAACCGCTTATCCTTCTGGGTCGCGGTGGGGTGCTGGAGCCTATCCCAGCTGTCATTGGGCGGAAGGCAGGATACACCCTGGACAGGTCGCCAGTCCATCGCAGGGCAGACAGACAGACAGACATACACATTCACACACTCACTCACACCTAGGGGCAGTTTAGCATGTCCAACTGGCCTGACTGCATGTTTTTGGACTGTGGGAGGAAACCGGAGTACCCGGAGGAAACCCACGCAGACACGGGGAGAACAGGCAAACTCCACACAGAAAGGACCCTGGCGCCTGGCCAGGAACCGAACCCAGGCCCTTCTTGATGTGAGGCGACAGTGCTACCCACTGCGCCACCGTGCCGCCCTTAACACTTAACAAATAATCTGAATTTTAAAGACGAAATAGTGGTTAAAAAACACTTTCTTCTCTTTGTTCTCGTGCGCTGGTCAGCACAGGTGTGTTAAAACAGCAGCAGCAGATCAACAGTGAAACACACACACTGTTTAATGTGCTTTTTAACTTGCATTAAAAAAATAATTAATGAAGTTCTTTAATGGAAATAACATAAAAAATACAGAGTAACTCAATATCTGTCGGTATCTGATGGAACTTTTCTGCTTCTGGTTTTGAAAGTTGTTACTGCAAACAAGTGCGTTTGTTAGATCCAGCTAAAGTTTCTTCTGACAAACACTAAAGCCATTTGTGCAGCTTGCTTGCCCATAGCGGCCTCTGCTGGAGAAACTTCAGATGGCTAGGCAGGAGTTCCAAAGCCCTCAGGCTTTACATATTTAAAAAAGAGTTTTCCATCACTAAAGCTAAAGAATTATGCTGAAAATCAGCTTTAGATGCCTTTGGGAAGCCATAAAGTGTTATATTTTCATAATTTCATAGCTTTTAATATTTAATATTATTTATAAAGCTGTTTAAAATTGGTCCTCTGATTCTGTCAGGTTCCTTTCCTCGCGTGGCGATTATTGCCTTTGAAGCATCGTCAGCACTGTTCATTCAAAAAGCGTAAAAAAAAAAGCCAAATCATAAATAAAAGAATCTCTTCTTTCAGTTTCTGATTTTGTTTTCCGGCTGAGCGCGTCCTGAATTTCGGTTTCGTTTTGTTTGGGTGCATCACTAATGATACCCATATGTCTACTCAAATTAGTTCCTCGTTAGCGTTTGGTTCCGAATTCTCCATTTTGGGTTTATTACACTCTCTTGTGTCGTTTCAGCTGCTCTCACTTTGGAGCTTTAGCATTTAATTTTAGACCAAAAGAATAAAAAAGAGAACACGAGTTCCTATAGGGACAGGGGTGCCAGACTTTTCTCTTGGGGGAGGGCAAAGGGCAATTTTTGTGGAGTGCCAAAAACAATACACTATACTTTATATGTACACTATACTATTCTTTATACTACAACTATATATTTTGTTGCTTAAATACTTCAGAAATAAATCTGTAAAAAAAAAGTTCAGTCTTAGTTGGTTTTGCACTTTCTGCTTCTCATACGATGCCAAGTTAACCCCAAATACACACATACAGGGGAGTTTTTAGACCTCACACTTTTAACCCAAGTTGGTTTGTGCTACTTTTACTTTTACACAAGTCATTAAATCAGTGAATCACTGTTAGTGATCATGACTTTAGGCTAGTCTACACTTCTCTGACAAGCTCGTGCACGTCTGTTATGCAACCAAGACCTGTTTGTGTGTCTGTGTATTTGCAGAGAGAGAGAGAGAGAGAGAGAGAGAGAGAGAGAGAGAGATTGGTTTTCAGTACTGTTATGTTCTTTTGTGTAGCTTTTTTGGTCTTGTTCTTAGATCAATAGGCCCCAGTAAGGTTGAATAGATGTGCTTGTGTGAGCCAAGAGAGCTGCTGCCAGAGGAATGCTGGTCACTCAGAGCGTCTTTAGTTCTGCTCTGGTGTTGCGACAGTAATGTAGTGAGTTCTAGAAGCTGTCTGACCTACTGTTATCTACAAACAAGGACAACAATACAATAGTGGCACTCAGAGGACTAAATTTAGTATGATAACATGTTATTTGTCATGTTATGTAATATTCTATATCTCAGTATTGCATCACTCAGACTCATCAGTGTGACGGACACCGGACAGCGTCCTTTTTTGTGGTTCCGACCAGGAAAAAAAAACTCCTCCCACCTGATACATCATCAGAAGGCAGTTTTCCTGGTCTTTAAATCAGTAAATCTCACTCTCTGGACTGTTGTGAGCATCTTTACAACTGATGTAGTTGTCAGTGTTGAACCGTGATTGTTCAAGTTAGGCCTTCAGCTTTTTGCCCTTAATGTCAAAACTAAACACGAATGAGCAGAAAAGGCCTGTATGGTATCGCTAGTTTCTACTAGCACCCCTATTAGATTTTAGTATTGTGTTAACGCTAAGCTAACAGCAATTCACATGATTTTTTTTGGCTGTTCCAGATTAAACACACACACACACACACACATCATCTAAACCGCTTATCCTTCTGGGTTGCAGTGGAGCACTGGAGCCTATGCCCAGATTAAACACAAACATTCAAAACTTGGAAAAGACATTCCAGGTTTTATTTGAAGTTACTTGTAACAGACCTGAGCTTGAATGTTTCAGTGTTACAGCGAGCTGCTGCCGCCGCTGTTTTCCATTCCTAACAACGAACCGAAACCTGCTTAGACTACGACTCGTATTCAGTCAGTAACGTATCTAGAACTTCCAGAAGGACTAGAGTGATGTTTTCTTTTCACCCAATGTAAATCAGAAACGGGATTGAATTCTCTATCGCGTCCTGATTATGTTGGTTGTTAATGTAATGTGTAAGGCCTTCTGTCCAGTTCCTGAAGTGCTATCCAATAGGGGAGCTTGCTTGACTTTATGCGACTAGATGCCACCTGATTGGACAGTTTTCCACTGGCCGTTTCAAGAATTCAACAGATTTGATTCCAACCGAAAGTGAACAGTGAAATAAGAGTATTACTACAGTACTTGCAGATGTAGATAAAAGCCTGATGATTCTATTATATAAAAATGAGCTGAATATTACAGACATGTATTTATTTACTTGTATTTTTTTTTTTGCACAAAAACATTTAGGCCTTATCTGAAGGCCTAGAACTTCCTAAGGCTTCCCGACTGGTTGCAGTGGCTATTCTTTTCCCTTTGGCCAGGGTGGGGTGTCCTTTCAGAGCCTGGGTTAGCCTGGGTTAATAGATAACAGTGTCATACAGTGTCAGAAAAAACATAACCAAGTCTTTTAGAGATTACAGAACACCTCCTTATGGTTCGAGACGTGTAATGTTTTAGGTATGCCGTTAGCCCAGTGTGTGATTAACCTGATGTGCCCCCTGCTTTGCCTCCAGCTCCACTTGGTGCACTGGAACTCTGAAAAGTACAGCCTGTTTGAGGAGGCAGTAATGGAGGACAATGGCCTGGCTGTTATTGGAGTCTTCTTGAAGGTACTGCCTCTGCAATCCTGTCCTTAAAACCACCCATATGCGTCATTTCTTGTTTTATAAGCCAGTTTTATTGCTGTCATGTCAAGTTGTTTCACTGCTCTTGTGACGAGGGACAATAGACAGAAAATTACTTCCTGCTTCCCTGTAGAAACAAAACACCTCACTTGATTTGTGTCTTGGCCATTGTGTAACATTCTGCACTTCTACATTTAAATAGCTTTTGTTTCATTAAGCGTTTTTGGTGAATCTTCTTCAAAATACATCCAAAACACTGTATTTCTTTGCCAGTGTTTTTAATTAGCTTTAATTATGTTTTATTGTAATCCTGTTCATTTGCTGCTTGAGCTGATGATTGTTTATGTTCCATGCCAGGTTGGAAAAAGACACGAGGGTCTGCAGAAGTTAGTGGACGCTTTACCTGCCGTCAGACACAAGGTGGGTACTACAGGGAACGGCAGCTTTTATAAAACACTGTGGGGAGCTGTTTAATAATTCTTACTGTCAGTCTGTAAAACTACACACACTGCAGATTCATACTGGATTAAAATCACTCCACAATTATTACTGTCAGACTGTAAAACTACACACACTGCAGATTCATACTGGATTAAAATCACTCCACAATTATTACTGTCAGACTGTAAAACTACACACACTGCAGATTCATACTGGATTAAAATCACTCCACAATTATTACTGTCAGACTGTAAAACTACACACACTGCAGATTCATACTGGATTAAAATCACTCCACAATTATTACTGTCAGACTGTAAAACTACACACACTGCAGATTCATACTGGATTAAAATCGCTCCACAATTATTACTGTCAGACTGTAAAACTACACACTGCAGATTCATACTGGATTAAAATCGCTCCACAATTATTACTGTCAGACTGTAAAACTACACACACTGCAGATTCATACTGGATTAAAATCACTCCACAATTATTACTGTCAGACTGTAAAACTACACACACTGCAGATTCATACTGGATTAAAATCACTCCACAATTATTACTGTCAGACTGTAAAACTACACACACTGCAGATTCATACTGGATTAAAATCGCTCCACAATTATTACTGTCAGACTGTAAAACTACACACACTGCAGATTCATACTGGATTAAAATCACTCCACAATTATTACCGTCAGACTGTAAAACTACACACACTGCAGATTCATACTAGATTAAGTGTCTGTACTGCTTTAGAGCTGAATGAGATGGGAGAAGTCGTCTCAGGCGTGTGATAATCTGAGACAGCCTGGTAACCTGAGAAATGGAGGGCAGTGAAATGTCCTAAATACTCCCCCTCTATCTGTCCCTCACATGTACATATTACCATATTAATCTCCCTTTGGCTTGTTTTATAGGTATTTGTATATATATATATATTTTATTTTATTTTATTTATTTTACTCTATTTAATTTATTGCATACTCGTCTGATCTGTTCACCTGGGGGTCTAGTAATATATTAGATAATATGAGACATTATAGTTTTGACACAGTTTAAAAGGCAAAAATCTTTTCTCTCCTTCATTTTATTCCGTATTTTCATGGTTGTCTCTTTGAGGAATGCATGTTATTAGAACAGTGATAATCAGTCTGTCTATTATAAATATATTTTCAGAATAAAATCTAACTGTATTTGATTCAGTGTGTGTTGTGTCATAACCCCTGTGGCGGGGACAAAAAAGAACAATCTTTTTTATTATTATTAATTAACTCTCTCTCTCTGTCTTTCTCTATCTCTCTCTCTCTGTCCCCCTCACTTGCCCACCCCCTGCCCCTCCCTTTCAGGACAGTGTGGTGGAGTTCACCCGGTTCGACCCCGCTTGCCTCCTGCCAGAGAACAGTGATGACTACTGGACATATTCAGGCTCGCTGACCACGCCCCCTCTGACCGAGGCCGTCACATGGATCATCATGAAGCAGCCCATTGAAGTCAGCCACGATCAGGTAAGAACGGGATTCAGTTAACAGGAAACAGGAAAGCACAGATTTATTATTCGGTATCTGTAAATTATTCATGAGCTACAGTCATACGCAAATGTTTGAACACATCTTTTTTTTTTTGTTTTGTTTTGTTGATTTCCTAAGTGAAAGTAAGTTAACACATCTGGTACAGAGAATACACTGAAATT